AGAAATGACACTAGTCATTAATATATACACACACACATATATCTAAGGTTCTTCATCCTTAGTAATAAGTTACTAACAATTTAACATCTTGCCCTGTACTGTTGACATAAGGGCTTACAATGGTCACACAATGTTTCACTGGCCTCCTCCACAATTGGCAGCATCACTTCTCTTGTCTTCGTGTCCCATGGTTGCTAGGTCATAGATCCTCCATGACCCAGACAAAACCCAGGCTGTCCAGCCTGGTGAATGTTGTCAATGTCCCATCGTTGCTCTGAGCTAACGTGATCCTGGCCTCCAGAGCAACGGAGATTCCTACCCCAGGGTCATGTTCCCTCGGGTCTGTGCTGACGTCTCATTCCAGGGCACCAACCCCAGAACGCTGTAGATACTTCACAGCTCTCTGGTCATCCTTCCTTGCTGTGCTTACCACAGCTGTAGCACACTACTCTAGGCCCATCTGCCCAGAGTGTGTCCACCCGTATTCACACCTTCCCGACCGCTGTACCTGCAAAATATTACCTCGGAGCTCCCTGGCTCGATCCCATCATTACATGACACCCCCTCGGCTCCTTACTCTCTCCCCGTATATAGCCTGAACACAGCTGCAAAGCCATTGCAGCTGGCCCTTATCCCTGCTTTGATGTCAGGGGGCGAATTTCGCCTATAATGTCACGTTGGCTTCACTTCCTCTCCCCTTATTTTTCTAGAATTACTGAGTGTAGCGTCATGGCTTCCCTTCTACTCTACCTGAAGCTCTGTGACATGATCCCGGGGGACCTACTCAAGCCTAACACTCAGCAATGGTGCCGATGAGGTAATATACAGTATATACATACACATACATTATCACAATAAATACTTCATTAAAATAATTTCAAACTAATGTCACTAAAGCATCATACTGCCACTGGCTCGCCTCTAGCGAGATTTCTGTAACAACTTAATTAATGAGAAATTAGTATATCTACTTGACTCGTCCACTGCAACCACCAACACCTGAAATTTTGAAATTCTACATTGTAATCTTATCCATAAGACTTATCCACTCCGACTTAATTAATGAAAATTTTAATGAAAAAACAAAATTTTTTTTTTTTTAGTCTTTTATGAATCTTGCTAGATATATTGACTTGGCTCGCCTACTGCAGCCACCAACTCCTGCAATTATCCACATTTCATCTTATCCATAAGACTTACCCACTCCGACACACCATCACCTCTGGTCATCCCAACCACTGATGACCTCATTAAAACGCCACACATCCCCACAACCACTTCCTGCGTCCTAACGCACCGACCTTGCTACGCCAATACTCACCTTAACGACCACTACCTGGCGCCCCTGCGCCACCATATACTCCACAACACCACACTCCATACCAGGCGTCCAAACGCCACTACACTACACCACCCAATTGCGTCCTCAACGCCATCAACACTCGGCGTTTCCAACGCCATCAACGGAACACCCGGCGTCTCCAACGCCATCAACACAACACCCAACGTCCCCAACGCCCTCAACACAACACCCAACGTCCCCAACGCCCTCAACACAACACACGGCGTCCCAACGCCCTCAACACAACACCCGGCGTCCCCAACGCCCTCAACACAACACCCGGCGTCCCCAACGCCCTCAACACAACACCCGGCGTCCCCAACGCCCTCAACACAACACCCGGCGTCCCCAACGCCCTCAACACAACACCCGGCGTCCCCAACGCCCTCAACACAACACCCGGCGTCCCCAACGCCCTCAACACAACACCCGGCGTCCCCAACGCCCTCAACACAACACACGGCGTTACAACAACCAGTTATGCTACACATGCTGCACCTTGGCGCTACAATGCCATCACTGCAGGCGATGAGTCACAATAACGTGGCTGAAGTATGTTGACCAGACCACACACTAGAAGTTGAAGGGACGACGACGTTTCGGTCCGTCCTGGACCATTCTCAAGTCGATCAATCAATCCTGGACCAATCGACTTGAGAATGGTCCAAGACGGACCGAAACGTCGTCGTCCCTTCAACTTCTAGTGTGTGGTTTGGTCAACAATGCCAACAATGTCATGCACTATACTACATCCATAATATCAACAGTCAAAACATGCACATTTCACTACAGTAAATACTATGCATTACGCTGGCGTTTAATAAGCCACTACACGTGCATTACACTACACACCCCTCGTCCAACCGCCAATATACAACCATGCACTGCCCGGCGTCCAAACGCCAATACACAATTCCTGGAAAGAGGAATTATTAATTTGGCTAAACAGCTTCGGTCTTAATCCATTGACCTTTCTTAGATATGTGATCCATAGTCTGTCTACTTAACATGTACTTCCAATCATCATTCGTTAAGTGTTGTAGTAATGATCCTCTAGCTAATAATTCCTACTAACTTGTGGATTACAACAGTAGAAGAACTCCCAGAACCCCATCAACCAGGTAACCAGGTAACACACCTGCTACACATGTTCACATTCTCACCTATCCTAACCACACACCCCATTAAACACATGAGGACGTAGAACGTCCGCCCAATCCTCACCACTCATCCCATGAAACACGTGAAGACGTAGAACATCCGCGGGGGCGGGGGGGGGGGGGGGGGGGTTACCACTCAACGTGCTGAGTCGGATCGCCCCACCTCACCTGGACAGGTGAGCCACTTCCAGGTGGTCGCGGGCGCTCTTTATCCTCAACTTCGCTACTGATCATGAGGTGGTGTGGAGGGGGAAGGGGGAGTGTAGGTACCAGATCATGGGGTGTTGTGGAGGGGAGGATGGAGAGTGTAGGTACCAGATCATGGATTGTTGTGGAGGGGGGGTAGGGAGAGTGTAGGTATCAGATCATGGATTGTTGTGGAGGGGGGTAGGGAGAGTGTAGGTACCAGATCATGGAGTGTTGTGGAAGTGGGGGGGGGGGGGGTAGGGAGACTGTAGGTACCAGATCATGGGGCGGTGTGGAGGGGGGAGGAGTAATTAGAAGGACGAAGGTGTCAGATACTAGAGGACTTTTGATCAAAGTAAATTGAATATTACAATTGACAATCGCTACTGAACTCACCTAATTGTGCTTGCGAGGGTGGAGCTCTGGCTTTTTGGTCCCGCTTCTCAACTGTCAATCAACTGATGTGAAGATTTCTGAGCCTACTGGGCTCTATCATATCTACATTTGAAACTGTGTATGGAGCCTCCACCACATCACTTCCTAGTGCATTCCATTTACTAACTTCTTTGGCACTGAAAATGTTCTTTCTAATGTCTCTGTGGCTCATTTGGGTACTCAGTTTCCACCTGTGTCTCCTTGTACCTGTACCACCTGTTTTAAATAATCTATCTTTGTCTACCCCTGACAATTTTTTATGTGGTGATCATGTTTCCCTTATCTCTTCTGTCTTCCAGCGATGTGAGGTGCAGTTCACGCAGCCTTTCCTCATAACTCATGCCTCTTAGTTCTGGGACTAGCCTAGTGGCATTCATCTGAACTTTTTACAGGGCTTCTGCTCCTTCCTTTAATGTCCATGGTGAAATACCATCCGGGGCCTATAGCCTTTGTCACATCTAAATCTAGCAGATGCTTCCTCACCTCCCTCCCCACTGGTAATGGCAAACTCCTCTATTGAGTCTGATTAGATATTCCCTCTCTTATCTCTGGGACTTCTCCTTGCTCTGATGTGAAGACCTGGAATTTCTTATTGAGTTCCTCGCACACTTCCTTGTCGTTTGTAGTGAATCTGTCTGCCCCTATCCTCAGTTTCATTACCTGTTCCTTCACTGTTGTTTTCCTCCTGATGTGGCTGTGCAGCAGTTTGGGTTGAGTCTTTGCCTTGCTCGCTATGTCATTTTCATTTTGCCTTTCTTGTCACCCTGACGTATTCATTCCTGGCACTCTAGTATCTTTCTCTTCTCTCAAATGTTCTGTTATTTCTATAGTTTCTCCATGCCCTTGTACTTAGTTGCCTTGCTAGCTTACATCTCTGATTAAACCATGGGTTTCTCGTCTGCATTTCATTTTTCCCCTTTTGGACTGGGACGAACTTGTCTGCTGCCTCCTTACACTTCTGTGTGATGTAGTCCATCATGTCTTGAGTCGTCTTTACTATGTTTCCCAAGCTATATCAGTTAGGAATTTTCTTATTTCTTTATAGTTTCCCTTCCGGAATGCGGGCCTTTTGTTTTCTGGTCCTTTCCTTGAGTACATTAACCCTTCTTCGACCAGATACTCAAACATCAGTACACTTTGATCACTCAATCCCACGGGGGCTTCGAGACCGATTTCCCTTATATCTAAGTTGTTCAGAGTGAAGACTAGGTCGAGTCTCGCTGGTTCATCGTTGCCTCTCATTCTCCTCGGTCCCCTGACATGTTGACTTAAAAAGTTTCTTGTCGCCATCTCCAACAGTTTCGCTCTCCATGTTTCCTCACCTCCATGCAGTTCCTTGTTTTCCCAGTCTATCCTTCCACGATTAATGTCCTCCATGATGAGCAGATGAGATCGATTTCTACAGGCAGCAGGGGCTGGTCTCTCAATTATAGTGTTAACTGCCATGTTGTTTCTGTCATACTCTTGCCTGGGTCTTCTGTCATTTGGTGGTGGGTTATATATCACTGCTACTACTACTACTACTATTGGTCCTCCGATCGTCATGGTGCTTGTTATGAAGTCTCTGAACCATTCGCAGCCCTGAATAACCATCTCCTCGAAACTCCATTCCTTTTGATTTCGACACTATGGAGTGCCATGTGTGATATGGGTGGCGTGGCGGGTAACCTCAATGGAAGGTTTGAACCCTCAGGTGGGTAACACTTGAGTCCTGCTGAGAGCCACTCCATGTAGGCGTCTGTGGCCCGGTTGGTAGGTGTCAGCCTCCACATTTTCAGGTGCGAATTTAAGTCTCTGATGATCCAAAGGGATAAAATGTCCAGGTGTTATATGGCAGTTGTTGTGCGATATGAGTGTTGTTGATGGCTCAGTGTGACATCCGGCCTGGGAGAGAGAGGTGCACTTTGCCACTCTGACGAGTCCTGGTCAAAGACCGGTCCCTCGCGACGAGGCGGAGTGCTTCATTAACATCTGCCAGCAGCACTACTGCTCTCTCACACTCGCAACGCTACAATGGTAAGTGGCCACACCAGTTAGCCTCCATACGTAACGAAATGCTGAGCCGTGTAAGTCCTGACCGAGGCCGGCCAGGGTAATCTGTGGGTTTGTCGGAGGCGTGAATCATGACATAGCTTCTGTAGGCGACGGTCTCTTGTAATACTTCATATTGTTTTTCTGTCTTTGTTGCCACGTCGTTCAAGCTGTTCTGATGTCCAGCAGAACAGCTTGAACTATCGAAGAGTTACGTAGTGTGACGAGCCAGTGTGCTGTGAGGGAAGAGTGGCTCACCCTGCAGAGTGAGGAGCCATGGGGCTGTGAGGGAGGAGAAGCTCACCCTGTAGAGTGAGGAGCCATGGTGCTGTGAGAGAAGAGTGGCTCACCCTACAGAGACGAACCATTGGGTTGTGAGGGAGGAGTGGCTCACCCTGCAGAGTGATGGAGTGTAACGAGTCATCCCAGCAAACAATCTTAGGTTGCTACAACTTACTGCACACAACGTTGGCTAAACAAATGTGAGACTTTGTTGCAACCATAAATGTTGCATAAAAGTCGTTTTCGTGATTGATGATATATACAAAAGTAGAAATATAAACAAAACATATTTCTATATTTAGTAGAAATTCAACAGGATGAGCATTATAAAGGTGGGTTCTAAATGTTTTATTCATTATTTTCACTTAATAGAGAATCCATGATGGTGGTGGTTGTTGTTGGTGGGTTGTGGTTGGTGGCAATGCTTGTAGATTGTTATGATTGATGGCATTGGTAGGTGATGGTTATGGTTGGTGGTAGTGGTGGTTGTGGTTGGTGATAGTTATGGTTATAGTTGGTGGTAGTGGTAGCTGATGGTTGTTGTTGGTGGTGGTTGTTTCCTGTGGTTCGTGATAGTGGTGGCTGATGGTTGTGATTGGTTGTAGGTGTGGTTGGTGGAAGTGATGGTTTATGGTTGTGGAAGTTGATGGAAGTGGTTATTAATGGAGTGGTTATTGATGGAAGTGGTGGTTGATGGTTGTGGTGGTTGACTGTAGTGGTGGTGGTTGATGGTAGTGATTGTTGATGGCTGTGGTGAATGATGGTTGTGGTGGATAAGGGTTGTAGTGGTTGATGATTGTGGTGCTTGATAGGTTTGGGGGTTGTTGGTTAAGATTGTTGTGGTTTAAAGTAGTGTTGCTTGATGGTGGTGGTTGGTGGTAGTGGTGGTTGGTGGTAGTGGTGGTGGGTGATAGTGGTGGTTGTTTGTACCAGTGGTCGATTGTTGTGGTTCGTGGTAGTTGTGGTTGATTGTTGTGATTGTTATACAAATAATATGGAAATATACAATATTTATTTCTTCATTTAGTAGAAATTAAACAATAGGAGCATAATAAAGGTGGGTTCAAAATGTGATCCATATTGTGTGTCAATCATTATGTGATTAACCACAATGTGTGGCTGCTTGGGTGATGTTGGCGTCCGTGGTGGTGGCGTCCGTGGTGTTGGCGTTCGTGGTGTTGGCGTCCGTGGTGGTGGCGTTCGTGGTGTTGGCGTCCGTGGTGTTGGCGTCCGTGGTGGTGGCGTCCGTGGTGTTGGCGTCCGTGGTGGTGGCGTCCGTGGTGGTGGCGTCCGTGGTGTTGGCGTTCGTGGTGTTGGCGTCCGTGGTGTTGGCGTTCGTGGTGTTGGCGTCCGTGGTGTTGGCGTCCGTGGTGGTGGCGTCCGTAGTGTTGGCGTCCATGGTGGTGGTGGCGTCCGTAGTGTTGCTGACCGTGGTGGTGTTGGCGTCCTTGGTGGTGGCGTCTGTGGTGTTGGCGTCCGTGGTGGTGGTGGCGTCCATGGTGGTGGCGTCCTTGGTGATGGCGTCCGTGGTGGTGGTGGCGTCAGTGGTGGTGGCGTCCGTGGTGTTGGCGACCGTGGTGGTGGTGGCGTCCGTGGTGGTGGCGTCCTTGGTGGTGGCGTCCGTGGTGTTGGCGACCGTGGTGGCGTCCATGGTGGTGGCGTCCTTAATGGTGGCGTCCGTGGTGGTGGCGTCCGTGGTGGTGGCCACCGTGGTGGTGGCGTCCGTGGTGGTGGCGTCCATGGTGGTGGCGTCCTTAATGGTGGCGTCCGTGGTGGTGGCGACCGTAGTGTTGGCGTCCGTGGTGGTGGCCACCGTGGTGTTGGCGTCCGTGGTGGTGGCGTCCATGGTGGTGACGTCCGTGGTGATGGCGTCCATGGTGGTGACGTCCGTGGTGGTGGCGTTCTTGGAGGTGGCGACCGTGGTGTTGGCGTCTGTTGTGTTTGCGTCCGTGGTGGTGGCACTCGTGGTGGTGGCGTCCGTAGTGGTGGCGCCCGTGGTGGTGGCGTCCGTAGTGGTGGCGTCCGTAGTGGTGGCGACCGTGGTGGTGGCGTCCTTGGTGGTGGCGTCCGTGGTGTTGGCGTCCGTGGTGGTGGCGCCCGTGGTGGTGGCGTCCGTAGTGGTGGCGCCCGTGGTGGTGGCGTCCGTAGTGGTGGCGTCCGTAGTGGTGGCGACCGTGGTGGTGGCGTCCTTGGTGGTGGCGTCCGTGGTGTTGGCGTCCGTGGTGGTGGCGACCGTGGTGGTGGCGACCGTGGTAGTGGCGACCGTGGTGGTGGCGTCCTTGGTGGTGGCGTCCGTGGTGTTGGCGTCCGTGGTGGTAGCCACCGTGGTGGTGGCGTCCGAGGTGGTGGCGTCTGTGGTGGTGGCGTCCATGGAGGTGGCGACCGTGGTGTTGGCGTCTGTTGTGTTTGCGTCCGTGGTGGTGGCGTCCATGGTGGTGGCGTCCGTAGTGGTGGCGCCCGTGGTGTTGGCGACCGTGGTGTTGGCGTCTGTTGTGTTTGCGTCCGTGGAGGTGGCGTCCATGGTGGTGGCGTCCGTAGTGGTGGCGCCCGTAGTGGTGGCGTCCATGGTGGTGGCGCCCGTAGTGGTGGCGTCCGTGGTGGTGGCGCCCGTAGTGGTGGCGCTCGTGGTGGTGGCGACCGTGGTGTTGGCGTCCGTGGTGGTGGCGTTCATGGTGGTGGCGTCCGTGTTGGTGACGTCCTTGGAGGTGGCGACCGCGGTGTTGGCGTCCGTGGTGTTGGCGACCGTGGTGGTGACGTCCGTGGTGTTGGCGTCCGTGGTGTTGGCGTCCGTGGTGTTGGCGTCCGTAGTGGTGGCGCCGGTGGTGGTGGCGTCCGAGGTGTTGGGATCCGTTGTACTCACCTAGTTGCGCTTGTTGGGGTTGAGTTACGACTCATTGATTCGGCCTCTTAACTGTCAATCTACTGGTGTACAGATTCCTGAGCATCTAGAGCTCTATCATATCTACCTTTGAAACTGAGTATGGAGTCAGTCTCCACAACATCACTTCCTAGTGCATTCCATTAACTAACTACTCAGACACTGAAAAAAAAATCCTTTCTAATGTCGCTATGGCTCATTTGGGTACTCAGCTTCAACCTGTATCCTTTGTGCGTGTACCATCCGTGTTAATCCATCCTTGTCTACTCTGTCAATTTGAGGTGGTGTTAGCGTCCTCTTGGCACCCAGAAAGGCAGGCGCCCCAAAACTGACACCAGCTGGTAGAAAATTTCAACCGGAGACTGAAACAGAGGCTAAAAACTGACCCCCAAGAAAAATAAGGAAACAAGCAAGTCCTTTTCCCCCCGTCCCATCCTAAATCCTTATCCAGACCCCTTTCCAGTGCTATATAGTCGTCATGGCTTGGCGCTTTTCCTTGATAATTCCATTCCATTCATCAACCCGACGCGTCGGCCTCCCTCCCCCCAGGAGCAGGATGGGGAGGCCCCCCGCCCCACCGAGCAGGCCGTCTGCCTACCAGTTTGTTGAGTGAAACTGACTGGGGGTATTTGTCTGCTCTCGTCTCGATTGCCTGTCAGGATTTTGATCTTAGCGGTGACACCTGCTGTGCGTTGGAGGATTGGCCAGGAGTACTCGGACTGCATGCGCTTAGAGTTACCTTCCCTTGGGTTTCAGGGTTATCTTCCCTGGAGATTTCGGGTCCCACGGGACCCACGGGAGTGGGACCGTGGGTTCGGGGTAGCGGTCGCTTGGTTTCTGCCTCGCCCTTGGGATCAGCTTGTGTCTTGGTGCCTTCGTTCGGCTCTGGGTAGGATGTGTTTGCTGCTGGTTGGGGCGCACTGGGCTGCACAGCTGGCATACAAGCAGCGGACGTGCCTCTCTCTGGCCTCCTGTTGTTGTGGTGCACTTTCGGGGTTCTTTTCTTTCTTTTTCGTTTCTTTCCTGCCTGGCCTCCTATTAGGTATGCCTGGGTTCCGTTTGTGCAACCTCGGGGCTCCTCTCGGGCCCCGAGGTTGCTTCCTTCACAGGGGTCAGTTTGCCCGTAATATACGAGTTTCAACCGGCTTTGCATCACCAGTGTCTGGGCTTCCCGTAGGGACACCTCCCCATGCGGGCCCAAGAAACCCCCGTCGGGGCTTGAGTGGATGGATGTGTCCACCGAGTCCCATCACGCCTTGTGCGAGTTTGCAGGTTGATCGGTGCCCTTCTCTCAGGGGTGACGATCATCTGTTTTGCCTCCGTCATGCTGCTTGTTTGGTCGCCGGCACCTTTAAACCGGAGTTGTGCGGGGTCTTTTTCCATGCTCGTTCTCCCATTTACCCATTCTTCTTCGGAAGATCTTAGGGGTCAAGCAGCTGTCGCATTATATTGTAGAGTTAAGTTATTGCAACGTACTAGGTTGGTAACCCGCTCGAATGTGGGCGACCAACCCGTTTTGGTTAGGGACCCGAACTTGGGGGTGTTGGTCACTTCCACTTTGGTTCCATCTGCACCCTTGGGTCCTTTTCCGGTTGGTGTGTTTCGCTCTGCTCCTCTCTCTCTGCTGCCGGCTCCTGAACGTCTGTGGGTTTCGGAGTCAGGGCAGAGTTTAGTTGGATTTGAGACTCGGGCGGCCCCAGGGGGGGGGGGGGGGTGGTTGTCCCATTTGAGGCGGGGACGGAGGCCGTTGAACCCGATTGTCCCGCCGAAGCTTGTGGGTCCTCCCAGTGAACCCCCTTCTTTGAGGCTTTTCCCTTGGACTTTT